ATGTGGCTTCTTACAACATGGAAACTCATTCTTAAAGGGAGCTTCTGAAGAGCACGTTTTCCGAGACAATCAGGTGGAAGCTGTATGGTTTTACATGACCTAGCCTTGGTGGTCATACAGTGTTACTTCTGCCAAACCCTACTGTTGTCCAAATTCAAGGGGAAAGGAATTTTGACTCCTTCTTGATTGGGGAGTGGCAAGGTTACATTGCAGAAGAGCATATGGGATGGACATATTGTTTTCCTGTTTTCAGACAATATAATCTGCCTCACTTATGCAATATCTTTTTCTTAACTCGCTGAGGATATTATTAGTTCTCTTCATCCTGTGCATGATCTGTTTGTTTCCCTTGAACATTTGGGGGAACTCCCAATGTAAGCAGCCTATTTAAGTCTTGGCCTAGTTGGATTCCCTAGTAAATAAACTCCTGCATTGGTTTGGCTGTCTATGTTCTAGGAGCTGATATCTAGAAATAGGGAATGTGATCTCAGCATTCATTGTCCTTGAGTTCCCTTAGTCCCATTGTTTCCTGGTTGGGAATCCTGCTTTCCATTATGTCTTGTGTGCCCCAGCCTGGAGAACCTCTGCAGAGACTAAATTTTGGATCTCTGTCAGAGTTTGTGGTGGAGATCAACTGCTTTGTAAACAGCTGCCAGTCAGTACTATTATTATTTTTTAAAACACCCTCATGCCTTATTGGTATCTGTGCCACCATTTCCCTGAACCTTTTGGAGATCCTGTAGCATAAATAGAGCTGGTTCTTTCTTTCCCTACTGTAATATTGAGTCTTCTTAATCAGTTACCTGTCATCCATCTGCTTTTCAAAGTTTACTTGCTGCCTCCTCTCTCATTCTGCCTGATGTCATTTTGTCTGTCCTCCCACTCCATTAAGTACTCAACTGCAGCCTAATCTTGACCAGTTAGAGTTGTTCATTTTATGTTGGAACCCTTCTAGTGATCATATTGTTACTTCAGGTGCATTTGATACTTTTCTTCTCGTCCCCTTCCTTGACTTAGCTCTCCTTATTATTACTAGCATTATAAAAAAGCATCATTTACTTTTAGTATTTATAGAGCTTGGTATTCTTGTGCTTCTTGGTGTTAATTTTAAAAAGCCACATACTGGGCAGGCCGAGTGGCTCAGTTGGTTAAGAGCTCGCTCAAGAGTTTGAGCTCTGAGCAACAGCGGTTCGAGTCCAGCCCGAGCTGAGCAGCCGCTGAGCTGCCAACAGGTAGCAGGATGGCTCAGCTTTAAAAAAAAAAAAAAAGCCACATACTAAGAACCATCGCCTTTTGGTTCTGGCTTTCCTTTTTTTCTTTATATGGTACAATTATTTTCTTCCACCATTTCTTCTTAGGTTGTGTTTTGCTACTTAAAAATATTCATGGTGGAATCCACAAGGAATTCTCTTTCAGAAAAGGTATCATTGTTCTAGTGAGGAACCTTCTCCAGGATACTCGCTAAGACTGTTGCCAAGTCCTATAGTAGACTCTGGGTGAAGAAGACTTGGTGTGAGGGACATTATTTTCTTACTCTCTCAGAATTCATGAGCTTTTGTTATGAGGTCATGTCATTGGCCTCACTGACATTTCACACCCCATATTCTTCAAGTATTCTATGTCCTTTTTGAAATCTGAAAGTAAAAGAACATGGAGCCTAGCAGTATTAACCTCTGCTACGTTTTGTTATTCATATTTTAATGTTTTGCATATTACTTGTGTGTGTGCTTAACCTAATGATTGATGACTGAAATTCCATTAAAATAGTTTAGCATGTGCACATTTTGCTTCCTGTTTCCTCATAGAAATCCCTTTCTCTATGAAATCTCATTTTCCCTTCAGCTTTCCCCTAACTCTTAGCCAAGTTTTAGTTAAGAGAATGTTCTATGTCTGAAGTTAGGCCAGTTAAATAAAATTTCTGTTAATAGTTTTTCTTCTTTATTCACCATAGTGATAAATACACAAAGTCAAAAGCATTATTAATAAAATAGCCTTGGTATTTCACAGTTATCTACTTTAGACACTTATCCATGTTGTTAAAACTTAAGACTAGTGATTTTACATTTTAAAATGCATTTTTATTTACTTAGGATGTGGATAAGAATGGTAAAAACCTAGGCTCTTTTTTGAGGTGAGATCCAAGTTTTTTATTAAGAACTCTGAATATTCTGTATGAATTTTGGGGTGATTTTCTATGTACTCACATTCTTAAAACCTATTTAGGATAGTTCTTCTACATCTCTTGTTTAAAAAATCCCACGGGTGCCACAATTGGGTTATTTGTATTTTTATTTTTGAATTGTAAGAATTCTTTATATATTCTGGATACTTATCTTTTTGTCCATGGAATATGTTATCCACTACCTTCTGGTCTCTACTGTTTCTATTTGAAGCTATTAATAATTTTTAGGACCCTTTGCATAATCACTTTTCTCTTGCCATTTTCAAGATTCTTTCTTAGCCTTTGTTTTTCAACAGTTTAACTATAAAGTATCTAGATATGGATTTCTTTGAGGTTATTATCCTTAGAAGTCATTGAGCTTCATGAATCTGGATGTGCAGATTCACTTTTTTTTTATTTTAATAGATTATTTTTGGAGCAGTTTTAAGCTTATGGAAAACTGCACAGAAAGTACAGCATTCCCATAAACCCCATAACACAATTGATGAAACAATATTGATATATCATTATTAATTATAATTAAGAGGGGTCATTCTTTGTGTTGTACAGCTCTATGGGATTTGACAAATGCAAAACATCCTGTAACCACCATTACAGCATCATACTGAATGATATCACTGCTTTAAAAATGCCCTGTTCTCTACCTATTCATCTGTTCCTTCTTGCCCCCAAGCCGCGGGCAAACAATGATCTTTTTATTGTCTCTGTAGTTTTTCCTTTCCCAGAATATCATATAGTTGGAATCATGCAGTATGTCACCTTTTCAGATTGGCTTCTTTCACTTAGCTATATGCACTTGAGTTTCCTCTATATCTTGTTATGGCTTGATAGCTCATTTCTTTTTATCACTGAATAATATTCCATGTCGTGAAAGTGCCACAATTTGTGGTACATTGAAGGACATCTTGATTGCTTCCAGTTTTTGGCAATTATGAATAAAGCTGTTAGAAACATTCAGGTTTTTGCGTAGACATATATTTTCAATTTGGGTTAATACCTAGGAGTGTGATTATTGGATTGGATGGATAGCACCTGTTTAGCTTTGTAAGAAGCTGCCAAACCATTTGCCAAGGTGATTATACCATTTTCATAATTGGAGCTCATTGAGCCTCCTGGATGTGCAGATTAATTTTTAAAAATCAATTTGGAAAGTTTTCAGCCATTATTTAAATATTTTTTCCTACCCCCTCCCCATGCATGTCTATGCAGCTCTCCCCCTTTTCCTTCCCTTCCCCACCCATCTCTTCCCCTACACTTTTCTTCTATGACTCCTATTATGCATTTGTTGGTATCTCACAGGTTTCTGAGGTTCTGTTCATTTTCCTTAATTCTTTTTTCTTTTTTTCTTCAGACTCCATTTGGCCTGTCCTCATTTCCACTGATTCTTTCTTTTGTCAGTTCAAATCTGCTGTTGAGCCCTTCTAGTCAGTTTTTCCAATTCAGATATTGTACTTTCAAATCCAGATTTCTATTGGTTCTTTTTTATAATTTCTTTTTCTTGAAATTCTCAATTTGGTTAAATATTATTCTTATACTTTTAGTTCTTTAGTTCTTTGAACATATTTATAACAGCTGACTAAAGTCCAATGCCTGGGCTTCCTCAGGGATAGCTTTTGTTGACTACTTTTTTTTTTGTATATGAGCCAGACTTGCATGTTTCTTTTCTTTTCTTTTTTCAAAGATTTTTGTTGGGGAATCAGGGAAGGGGAACAGACAAGTTGCTGTCCTTTTGTTCTTCAGTCTAGTTGTGGAGGACATCGCTTCACTGGCCCATGTTGGTATTATCATTGCGCTCTTCCTGGGTGAGGCAGTTGCTCGCTGGCCACTGGACAGCCGCTCATGGTGGCTCACTTAAGCTCACACCCACTGCCGGCCAGCCCCACTGCAGCCTACGCCATCGCCAGTGACTCACGGTAGCCCAGCTCCAGGTCGAGCTGTTGTTCACCATCTTACCTGTAGAGGGCAGTGTCACTGGCCCTCATATGGGATCCAAACCGGGGCTCTGCTGCTCACAGCTGGCATCCAAAGCCAACTCTTAACCAACGCACCACTTGGCTGGCCCTTGCATGTTTCTTTATGTGCCTTGTGATTTTTTGTTGTTAAAGGTGGACATTTTATAATGTGTCAACTCTGGAAATCAGGCCTCTGCCCCTGCTCAACCCAGGGTTTGTTATTGTTGCTATTTGTTTATTTAGGACTTTCCTGAGTTAATCTTCTAAAGCTTAAATTCTTTTTTGTGTGCGCCATGATTAGACAGAGATTTTCTCAAATGCCTTGAACCAATAAGGGGCAGGGATTGCTTATTAAGAGCATAATTTTGTTTACAAATCTGATGTTTTAATGGTTGAAATGGTTAAGTATTTTAGCAGAATTTCCCAGTCTTTGCTTTCTAATAGAAGTTTAGAGTGGGGTGGCAAGATAGTTGGAAGAAGATAAGCAGCTAATTGAATTGCAGGATTGTCTTCTAATGAACCATTGAGCACTGGGAAGTTTCATAATGGGAACAGAATATGTTGAATTTTGCAATCATATTGGACCATTGAACTGTTGCTTGGTACAAACTTTGGGACATGCTACTAGAGTTTTCATTGAAAAAGCTTGATCTGACTTGCAGGGTGTTTTCAAACCTTTAGCAATCATAACATAGTATTAGAAAAAAAAGTGAGACTGGAGAGAAGGAATTTTAAAAGAGAGAAATCAACCAGCCATAATTTAGAGGAAAAAAGTAGGATTAGATCACCAGCATGATTTCTGAGTATGTGTATATTTGCATATGCATTACATTCCTTCACACTTTTTCCTTTTCATTTCACAGATTTTTTAAAAAGCCTCATGAGGCATAACACCATTGCTGGATGCCTGGTAAAATTAAGAAAACTGGCTGCATGAGATGCACTCTACATGGGCACAAGCTCTTACCTGGAATCAGAGAACGAAATGAGCCAGACTTTCCTTAATTCTAAAAGGTAAAAAATCTAAGTACTTTTTGTAACATTATTCTATATTAATAATTGTCAATATTTACTTTTATTTGTATTACTAATATTCACAATTTTTTCCTAATTAAACATTTTAAAGTTCTAGTGCTAATTCTGGTGTTAAAAATTTTTAAATCTCTATAAATCTGGTTAGAGACAGTTGCTGGTATTTGACTTTCTTTGCTAGAACATATCATTTATTAATTATAGAACCAATTGTCAAGTTACAAAATTGATTTTTGAAAACAAAACAATATCTAAATATTTGTAAACATTTTATATAGTAAAAGTGGATTGGGTTCCTAATTTGAAAAAAGACTAAATTCTGTCATAAATTATAATTTATATACAACTGTTGTATTTCTGCAAGTCTTAATTATTATAACCTGTTATATAACCAATGCAAGAAATGCAAGGCTATGTCTCTATTTTGGATTGCATATGACATGAAGTCAACCCAAAACAGTTACAAATCTGGCCTGGTGTCAACTGAGCCTTTCTGGTCTAGTTTGAAAATTCAGTTGACCTGCTTTTCCTTCAAAGATTCTTAGAAGTTAACAGTCATGTTTGAACATATCCTTAAGAGCACCCCTACACTGGCGAAGAGCAGAATGGGTCTGATTTCTTCAAATATTTAAGGGTGTTAATACCAACTGATGGGCATTAATGGATCTGTCAGGAGGAACCCAGATTATTAATGATTTCCAGGCAAGGGGTGCTAATTAGACCTGGCACAGGATCAAAAACCCACCAATTATGGAGCATTCACTAATCATAACCTCTGTCTTCAACTGTGTTTTGCACCTCAATATACCTGAGAGATAAAATGTTTATTGTAAGATATTTTAGCACACCCTTGTACTCAATTTTTTTTTAAACATTTTGACATTCATATTAGAGACTGCAGGTTTCCTACAACTCTACCTCTTTTCCTCTGACTGACCCACTTTGTTTTTGTTTTAAACATCAGACCTCATAGCAAAGAGGACAGTCTTTGAGCCTGAGAAGATGTCATGAAAGACTGTATTTATATGTGTCATTTCTATTTTTTGTTTTAGTTCTCTTTTTCACTTCGAGATGCCTTTGTATTTCTTATAAATGCAAACTGACAACTCTCAAGACCACGACAGACAGAAAATCATTACTGCTGGAAGCCTGAAGACTGCCCTTAATAAAGGAAAGCCCCCCCATTGTTGTTTGAAATGCTGAGGAAGTTGCTACGCAGGAGACTTTTTTCTTATCCCACCAAATACTACTTCTTGCTTCTTGTTTTTTCCCTAGTCACCTTCTCTGTTTTAAGAATTTATCAAAAGCCCGAATTTGTCAGTGTTGAACATTTGGAGCTGGTTGGAGAGAATCCTAGTAGTCATATTAACTGCACCAAAGTTTTACAGGGTGATGGAAATGAAATCGAAAAGGCAAAGCTTGAGATTCTAACAGTGAAATTTGGAAGGCGGCCTCGGTGGACAACCTTTGACTATATAAACATGACTAGTGATTGCACTTCTTTCATCAAGAAGCGCAAGTATATTGTAGAACCCCTTAGTAAAGAAGAGGCAAAGTTTCCAATAGCATATTCCATAGTGGTTCATCACAAGATTGAAATGTTTGACAGGCTCCTGCGGGCCATCTATATGCCTCAGAATTTCTATTGCATTCATGTGGACAAAAAATCAGAGGATTCCTTTTTGGCTGCAGTGATTGGCATTGCATCCTGTTTCAGTAATGTCTTTGTGGCCAGTCAGCTGGAGACCGTGGTGTATGCATCGTGGAGTCGGGTTCAGGCTGATCTCAACTGTATGCAGGACCTCTACAGAATGAGTGCAGATTGGAAGTACTTGATAAATCTTTGCGGTATGGATTTTCCTATTAAAACCAACCTGGAAATTGTCAGGAAACTCAAGTCACTAATGGGAGAAAACAATCTCGAAACTGAGAAAATGCCATCCAATAAAAAAGAAAGGTGGAAAAAACATTATACAGTTGTTAATGGAAAGCTGACAAACACAGGGACTGACAAACTACAGCCTCCTCTTGAAACACCTCTGTTTTCAGGCAGTGCCTATTTTGTGGTCAGTAGGAAATATGTGGAGTACGTGCTAGAGAATGAAAAAATCCAAAAGTTTATGGAGTGGGCAAAAGACACATACAGCCCAGATGAGTATCTCTGGGCCACTATTCAGAGGATCCCTGAAGTCCCAGGATCACTGTCCCTAAGCCATAAGTATGACATGTCCGACATGCATGCAATTGCTAGGTTTGTCAAGTGGCAGTACTTTGAAGGTGATGTTTCCAAGGGCGCCCCCTACCCGCCCTGCAACGGCGTCCATGTGCGCTCCGTGTGTGTTTTTGGAGCAGGTGACTTGAACTGGATGTTGCGCATGCACCACTTGTTTGCCAATAAGTTTGACACAGACATCGACCTCTTTGCCATCCAGTGTTTGGATGAGCATCTGAGGCATAAAGCCCTGGAGACGTTAAAACACTGACCATTCATTGTAGGCAATTTTAGATAATAAGAAGGCGACATGAGATGTACCCTCATCTGATTCTTCTGCTCTGTTAATAAACATCAGAAAAACAGTAGGGGTCGCTCTTTGGACCAGGGGCTCCAACTCTTCATATCAGAGAAGCTACATGGTGTCTGCAGAGCAAATTCAGTTAGTAAGCTTATAGCGTTGAACATTGACTTGGAGTTAACATGAGGCCAGGGCAGGATGTGAGGCATTGTGGGTAGAGGTAGTCCAGGTGGCCAGGAAAGAGACCGAATGCAAAAACAGCCTGTTAAAAAGAGCTCAGGGACTTAACAAAGCGACTATTTGACCTGTGCCAAATTTACTTTGAGAGCTTTAAATATGATAGTTTTCCTGATTTGAATGAATTTATAGTAACAACCAATCATAAGGATATAATTTATATTGTAGGTTATATTTGTTGAATTAGAAATTTGACTTTACTGTAAAGGATTCTTATGAATAATTTACTTTCTGCTGTAACATTGCGTTGTGTAGTGTATCTGTGTATGTCATCTCAGGGAACTTGAAAAAAACGGGCTTGACTAAATATAAATATTTCTGACAAATTTTTGCTTTTACCAATGTACATATGTATGTTTTTAAAAACAAAAAAGGGCAATTTCTAATTTAGTTGATTCTATGAATCATCTTAGATTATTAGAAAAGATATCTTAGGTTATTAAAAGAGTTAAGATATCTGTCTTTGTTATTGTAGTTTCTACAGAGTAACACTCAATTTTCCAAATATTTGTCTCTACTCCTCCCCCCAGTCTCCCCAAACCTTACTATCAAGCTATATAAGAACTTGTTTTCATGGTGCCCCATATTACTGCTTTAGTTCTCTTATATGATCAGTTGATTGACAATAATTAGCGCAGAGAACTAAAACAGAAAGGGTGAATGAAGTAGGTATGTGTGGGAAAGAGGAGTCATATTTAGACAATTTCTGAGGCCTATGATGAGCGTTAAAAACCAGCAGTTGGCAATATTCCTGGAAATTACAGCTGTTGCTCTTTGCTTGTGTCCAACCTCCCAGAGTCTTGCATCCTAATGTCATTTGTGCCTCCATTTGAAAGCAACTGGCTTCCACTGTCCTTGCTTCTTCATTTTACTTGCCCACTGGTCATTCCTTAGCCCTTGGGTTGTAAGTTTTCTTCTCCCTCAGAAGCTTTGAGGAGAGAAGAGGTGTGCTGTTGTTCCACATGGCATATCTGAAGGCCTGGGAATCCAAAAAGGACCATTAGGTTTGGGGCAGATTGCTTCAATATTGGTATTATTCACACCATATGTGTTTTACTCTACTTTTATTCACCAAAAGAGATGAGTTGAGGTTGCTTTTGTGCTGTCCCCTCTCAAAGTAAATGAAGATTAAAAAAACATGATAAAAAAAATAAAAAATCCTTGCACTTTTGCTAAGCTGATACTGTTCAGCCAAAGCTCTAACAGGAAATGTGAAGATTTACCATTTAGCCAAGATTTTAAACAAGAGTCAAAACCATGTACTTTATTTTTAAAGCATAGCCAACTTAAATGGCACGTGAGAAATTCAGACGGTTTTCAGGCCTTCAACTGAAAAAACATTTTTATTCCTCAAAGTTAGAAAACATTTTCATTTTATGGAGAGCTTTGTTATACTGATTCTCCTGAACGAAAGTTTCACGTTTTTTTAAAAACTTTATCATCATTTGTAAACATGCAAGCAGTGGATTGCTGTGTTTTGCATGATTTTATATGGCAGCTTTGAACATTCTAGAGATGACAGCAGTGAGAGTGTTGTATGCACAGTGTTCCACTTCTACTGCTTTCTAACCCAGTTTGTTCTTTTAATGCATGTCAAATGTTTTTCCCGTTCTCTCTTTTAGCAGAAAGATTTTACCTATAAGATAGGGTTTTTGTTTTTTTTTAACTCTAAAACCAGTGATACTCAATAACACATACTTTGTGTTTATGTCTTGTATTTTTACTTCATTCATGGTGTCTTGTTTTATGGACATTTTTATTTTGAAAATTTGCAAATCAATAGGAAAGTTAAAAGCAATAGTACAGGGAACGCCATATGACTTTCATCTGGAGTCACTGGTTGTCAACATTGTGCCCCCTTTGCTTCGAATTGTATAGTTTTTTTGAATTTAGCAAAATTGAAAATTAAAAAAATATATTGACAAATATCCAAAGTTATTTGAACACTCTTACTGTAGTGTGATTGCGTTTGATTTACATTTGAATTGGCACGTTTTGAGGGATTTTTTTCCACCACAGATATAAAAATAGGACTTCAGAGTCCATTGTCCCAAACTCCACATTAAAACTATGGCCCCATCGTCTTTTATGTAGCTGTGGTATCTCATCTTTCTAGAACAGCATTTGTTGAAATGTGCCGGAACATTACCGTATTGCTAATGCCTGTTATTGGGCTTATACAGAATTTGTTTATCAGGCCTCTTATTTTTATACCTTTCACCTTAAAGCAAACAAAATTTATACCCCCAGGACAAGCAAATTGAAGAATCAAAAAGTTGATTTCAAAATGAGGCCCATAATACATTCAGGAGGGACAAAACACAAATTCTTTGGGAAAGATAAATTATTTAAATTGTTTCATATATGTCAGTTATTAAACACAAAGTTTACTGTCACTTAAGATCTTTTGTAGGGCATTATTAGAAATCATTCACAAAAAAATCCTTAAACATACATAAACTGTAATTTTTTGATAGAAGGATTATTTTAGTTAATGAAGTACTGCAAAGAGATTCAATATGAATTATTAAGGACAAGTTAACAAAAATGGTTCTTTTTTATAGGCAATTACCTAGGCTCATCTCAGACTATGGTCAACATCCGCTCAGCCTTGCAAATGTGAAGCATTATTGTCTCTAAACATGTATTTGTATCATTTGTCAAGTACAATTCACTTCAATGAAATAAAATAAGTGAATTTTCCTTGGTAGTTATTTGGGGAGGAGAAAGCCATATTTTAATTTAATTCATTTGTAGGATCAAGTGCACTGGACTTTTCCAGTTGCTTAATAAAATAAAAGTCATTTCTCATTATGTTAAATATAAAATAAATACAACACTGTTTCATGGTAATCATGGTTATATTCTTTTGAATGTGGGCATGACTGAATGCATTTGGAACTTACATACCACCATTAAAATCAGCCATTCAGAAACCAATGCCTTGTCTCCACAAATTATTATTTTTTCATTAGATACCAGCACTCAAATATTAAATGTAGTAGTTGATGTGGTACTTTGTAACCAACTAGTGTTGTGTGTGAGTAGTGATTAAAAATATAAGATTAATTCTCCAGGCAGAAATGCCTGTGAGGAAGAGGGTATGGCAAGGGCAGAAAATTTAACACAGACTATGCAAAACGATTTAGACAAGGTACTTCAGAAGAATGCAATTGAACAGCCAGTGTTGCATTCTAGGACCTTACCAGCTTCAGCTTGTTGGCTGAGGCAGGAGAGCAGTCTTCCAGTAAGGTTTTCTACTCAATGGCCCCAAACAGGATCTGCTACGTGCTGCAGTTTGCAATATGGAGGGCCCAGCTGATGGAAAAGGGAAACCCCTTCTCACCAAATATTGAGTGTCTCCTCCAAATGTCCTCTCTCCTCACCAGTTAAACACTTCTGGGTACACTTTAGCCCAGCCCCATTTTAGATGAAACAGACTAGAAAGTGGAAAAATTGATTGATCTCAGATCTTTCTCAAAAGCTTTAGAGCAGCGGTTCTCAACCTGTGGGTCGCGACCCCTTTGGGGGTTGACTGACCCTTTCACAGGGGTTGCCTAAGACCATAGGAAAACAAAAAGATATTTACATTACGATTCATAACAGTAGCAAAATTACAGTTATAGAGTAGCAATGAAAATAATTTTATGGTTGGGGGTCACCACAACATGAGGAACTGTATTCAGGGGTCATGGCATTAGGAAGGTTGAGAACCGCTTCTTTAGAGGTTTGCATATCTTTTATAAGGCTGCTTGTCAAATAATTTCTAATATGTGCTTAAAGTTTTCAGGGCTTGTCATCAGAATATTGATTTAATATTTTTTGATGCAATAAGTCCCAAACTAGAGTTATAACTATTGGGAAAGAAAGTACTTTATTACTGCAGATGACATGATTGTCCAGGTAAAAAGCTCAGGAATCTCATCTTATCTTAGAATTAACATGAAATAAACAAATACCTCCAGACATCCAAAAATTAATAGTTTTTCCATAGTTAGGCAAAAAAACAAACAAACAAACAAACAAAAAAACTTTTAAGATGTAACGTGAATGTATTACCTTTTAGCATGAAACCAGCTCTGTAAAATGTGTTGGGGCCCAAGGCAGGCTGCCCCAAATACCCCACAATGGCATATTGAATTCGGTTACTTTGAATTAAAGTTACTCGACAAGCAGCTAGTGCCAGAAGAGCACATTGTCCCCCACTCATTACCTTGAGTGCAGGAAATCTCTCATGTGAATGGTTTCCTCCCCAAATCTGGGTGTTAAACAACTCAGAGCTGAAGAGTTTGTATCATCAAATGATTATAGATACAAAACCATGAATTCACCCCGTAATAGACTCCCTCTTAAAACAGGGCATGTTAATTTTTACTTCCTCACCCTGTAGCAGTCCAATCTTGCCAGTAAAGAAAGAAGGCAAATTTGATTCGGGTGGGAATCAAATTTATTGATTTGTGTAGGACCTAAGAGCCATACATGCTTGTAATTCCTTGGCACCCTGTAGTTCCAAATCTGGCTACTATTCTCACCTCCGTTCCTGCTAATGCAACCTGGTTTACAGTAGTTGACTTCTCAGCTTTCTGTTTTTTTTTTTTTTTTACAGATCTAAAGTGCACTTTATCCCCTCTTCACATGCCAGCTGCCCCACACCCCGAACTACAGAGAAAACCCACAGCTCTTAATATCGATATATTCTTCCTGTCCGTTTTACGCATTTGCACGCCTGAAAGTACACAGACAAACACAGTAGGCTCTTTCTTCTGTGAACAGAGTGAAATTAGACCGTGTGCATTATTTTCCACCTTGCTTTTTTCACTGGCGTGGCCTTTC